AGACACGTGTGTGTGTGTTTATTATTAATTAAAATTTCTTAATGACAGTATTAAAAAAAAAATGGCGGATAATAAATATTATTAATTAAATAAGTCATCTTGTAACAATCTCTCTCTCTCACTCTTTCTCTCGCTTTCTTTCTCTCTCTCTCTCTTTTCGTATTTTTTTTACGTTTTTCTCATTTTTAGGTAAATTTAAAAAATTTTTACGTTTTCTTACCTCTTCCATCCTTTTCTAAAAATCCAGCCGTTTCGATTTCATTTTCAGCCATTTTCTTTTTTCCTTTTCAACTTACTACTACTTGTACTACTACTACTACTACTACTGCTACTAATTTGTTTATTTATTTAAATAATAATGATAATAATAAAAAATAAATAAATAAAAATAATCACTTAATTTTATTTAACATATTTCACGCACAATTTTTTTTTTTTCATCTAAAAAACAAAAAAAAATTTTTTTTTTTTTTTGGTTATTAATAATAAGAATTCAAGAAGATAGTAATAATAATAATAATATTAATAATAATAATAATAATACGAAGGGCAAATTATAAAAAAACGCATGCATTTATTAATCAATTAATTAAACGCATTTTTTTCTTTTTTTTTTTTTTTTTTTTTTTTTTTTTTAGCTTGGAATTTGTTTTAAATTTAAAAAACTAAAATTTTTTTTTTAAAAAATGTTTTAGGTGACGTAATAATCTTAAAAATAAAATAATCCTTTTTGAACGAAGCCATCCGCCGTTTTTGAAAATAGAAAAAGAAAAAAAGAAAGAAAAGGAAAAAGAAAGAAAAACGTTAATGAACCTGACATTATTGAAAATTAGAGCAAACTTATCGCACACTTTTTTTTTTTTTTTTTTTTTTACCTTTAATGTCGTGTCATTGATCTTATTCTGGTGAGTTTTTTTTTTATTATTATCTTATTTTCTTTTTACACGTCAAAATTTTATTATTTAGTTTTAAAAGTAAACACACTAAAAAAAAAAAAAAATTTTTTTTTAACTAAATCAATCGCGAAAGGTTTGTTTGTTCACCTAAGGGAAAACTCAACCGTTAAAAATAATCGAAATTTAACAAACGTCAGGAATTTTACGTTTTATAAAATGCAAACAACGCACAATCAATACACGCGTTGAATTCATTTACTTGTTATAATAATAATAATAATAATGATGATGATGATGATGATGGTGGCATTATAAAAAAAAATTTGCGACCTTGTTAATATTTTACCTTAGAAAAAAAAAACTCTGAATCGGTTGAATCGATAAGTAAAAAAAAAAATTTTTTTTAATTTTAAATTTAAAATTTTTTAACTTACGCACGTGCACGCACACGCACACACACACTGTCGTCGTATTTTAATAAAAGAAGAAAAAGAAGGAAAAAATAATTCCACGTGATGAGTACGTCATTTGAAAATTTCATAAAAAACTTGTTTTTAACGTGTTGAGGTTAAGTAATGACGTCACATGAGTATTTATTATAAATGTCACGTGCGTCAAAATAAAAAATATTCATATAAAAAAAAAATTTTTTTTTCCCAAAAACAAAACAAAAACAAATAATAATAATAATATTAAGTTATATTGAAATGAAATGATTATCAGTAAAAATGAAAAAATTAAAAATTGATAAGAAAAAATTTTCTTTTGGTTTTTCTCGGAAAATTTTTTTAAAAAAAAAAAAAAAAATTTTACAGGATAATTTACTACAAACTTTGTGTAAAATATTTCCCAAGTTGGATAATTACATCCTTATCACTCTAATCATTACATAATTATAATTTATTAATTTATTTTTATCGTTAACAGAAAAAAAAAAAAAACCATAAATAAAAAATGCGTTGTAAAATAATAATAATAATAATAATAATAATAATAATAAATGTTATCATTTGAAAAAGATGACCTTATTCATTCAGTTTTTGTTTTGTTTTTTTTGAAATAATAATAATAATAATAATAATTTACTAGTTGTACTAGATCAAGTTTTTAAAAATGATTTTTTTTGTTTAAGGTTAAATGATTTTTAAGTTTTTTTTTTATTTTCGTTTTTGTGAGTTATTATCATCATCATCATCATGATCATCCCGTAGGATATCAAAAAAAAAAAAAGGA